TCTCTCTCGGCTGTAATAGATTCTCAGACTTTCCTTGTTTCTCACAGAAATGCATATATAGAAGTCTGAGAATCATGACCATGGGGGAAGTTAGGGGAAAAGAGGTCATGATCTTGGAGTCCTGGGATGGAGCCCCCCATTGGGCTCCTTGCTCAGTGGGGAGTCTGCTTCCTCTTTCTCTGACTCTCCCCTCCTCCTGCTCTTGTTTGCTCTCTTTCTCTCTCAAATGAATAATAAAAAAAAAATCTTTAAAAAAAATACTAGAGGAAAATGTGTGTGGGATTGGTTGGGGGATATGGGAACTTTCTGAACTATCTTCTCAATTTTTCATTAATCTAAAACTGTTCTAGAGTCATGTGGGTGGCTCAGTCAGTTAAGCATCTGCCTTCAGCTCAGGTCATGATCTCGGGGTCCTGGGAGGGAGCCCCATGTTGGGCTCCTTGCTCAGTGGGGAGTCTGCCTTTCCCTCTCCATCTGCTCCCCCTTTGTGCTCTTTCACACTCTCTCTGTCTCAAATAAGTAAAAATCTTAAAATTAATTAATTAATTAACTTAAAACCTGTCCCCAAAAATAAAATATTACTAAATATAAAAAATAAATAACAAAAGAAGCTATCCATAAAGGATATTAGAATGAAAAATATTGGAAATATGATATAGACTTTTTAAGTCTACAAAACAATATGAATCTAATGATTTTATGAACCACTGCATGACTTAATTTTTTCAGAGCAGAAAGCAGTTTTTTTTAACATTTTAAAATTATGAAATATAGAGTGCTTACAGAAATTTGGAAAGCATATATGTACCATTAACAAACAATTACAGAGTAAACAAAAATAGAACTAACACCCAGGTCAAGAGAAGAGATCATCACCAGGGCCCCAGGATGCTGCCTGTGCTTCTCCTCTGGGATCACAGCCCCCACTGCCTTCTAGGCTAATCCTACCCTAACAACAGGCATATTCATTTTGGTAAACAATATAAAATTGAAATTGTGTCCATTTTTGAAAACTTCATATAAACATATCAATAGAATCCTACCTTATGTACCTTCCTGTGTTCTTCTCTGTATTTTTTTTTTTTTTTTGGTCATTTTTATGTTGCCACACGTAGCTGGACTCTGTTCTGTCTCAGGGCAGTCCAGTACTCACCATACGCACATTTATGCATGTGGATGGACCTGTGAGTTGCCTCTGCTTCTGGTCCCATTACACAGAGCGTCGCTCTGAAAATTCTCCCACATGTCCGACACACATGTATTCATACCTAGAGAATGGATTTCTGGGTCATAGAATGCGAATTCATCCTTTATCTTGCCAAATTGGTTTTTTTCCTAATTGTTTTTACCAATTTACATGTGCCCTAGCTTCATATGAGGGTCTTGGTTGTTGTTCACGCTTGCAAATCTTTGATGATTTGTCAGCCGTTTAGTGTTAGCCAATCAGGTGATGGCACAGGAGTATCCTGTTATTATTTGCATTTCCTTGACTGCAAATGAGGGTGAGCGATTTTTTCCTATGCTTCTTAGCCACTAGGATTTCCTCCTTCATTAAGTGCTTAATCAAGTATTTTGTCCATTTTTTTCTGCTGGGTTGTCTGTCTTTCTTTGGAGGAATTCTTTATATATTCTAGATATTAGCTCTTTCTTGGATATGAGTAATACAATATGTTCCTTTTCCTTGATTTGTCTTTTCACTCCTTTTTTTTCCTTTTCTTTCTTTCTTTCTTTCTTTCTTTCTTTTTTTTTTTTTTCTAGAAAGAGAGAGAGAGAGAGTGCTGGGGGTAGGGACAGAGGGTAAGGGAGAGAGAGAATCTTAAGCAGACTTCACGCCCAGAACGGAAACCCATCTCACAACCCTGAGATCATGACCTGAGTCGAAATCAAGAGTCCCACACTTAACCAAGCAGGCCACCCAGGCGCCCCTCTTTTCCATATCTTTTGATGAATAGAGTCCCTCTTTACCTCTAATAGTACTATATTATTAAAAGTAGCTAACACATATGGTGACTATCAAATGCCAGACACTGTTCAAAATAGTCTGCATAGAATAATTCATTGAATCTTCATAACGACCCGATCAGGGGAGTCCTCCAATTAAGCCTCAGGTTTCTCAGGTGAGGAAGCAGAGTCAGGGTGACATTAAGCAACTCGCTCAAAGTGACAGATCTAGTAAGTGATGGAGTCAGATATTCAAACAAGAATCTCCAAGATTATTCCTTAAAAGGAAGATAAAGAAGGGCGACTTCTCCATTATCAGTCGGTGGTAACTGAATGGCAATGAACAAAATCCATCTATGTACGAGAAAGAGAGGCCCGACACAGACACTGTGTACGTAGGAATCTGAATATAATGGAGGTGGTGCACCAAACTGGTGGGGGGTGGGGGGCGATGTACTATTTTTGAGAGAAAAAAAAAGTAGAACTCTACTTCATATCACTTACATAAACTTGAGGTGGATCGCAGACTGAAGGTTCAAAACCGGGTGCTAGCAGAGAAAATACTGAAGAATGTCTTCTTGAGCTCAGGGTGGAAAAAAAATGTCTTCAAGAACCAAAGGACCATGATAGAAGTATCTTCTACATTTAACTGACTTCAGTGTCGTGACTCTGATGGTTAATTTTATGTGTTGACTTGATTGGGTTAAGAGATGCCCAAGTAGCTGGTAAAGAAATTATTTCTGGGAGGGTCTGTATGTGTATCTCAGGAAGAGATTAGTGTTTGCATCAGTAAACTGAGTAAAAGATCACCTTCACCACTATAGGGGCGCTGATCAAAGCCGTCAAAAACTAGAACAAAAGAGCAGAGGAAACATAAATTCAATCTCTCTGCTAGAGATGACATATCATCTTTGCCTTCCCTGGGACTTCAGGCGTGGGTCCTTCTGGTTCCCGGGTGTTTGGACTGTGAAAGCTAGCAATGGAATGCACCTCACTAAAATGGAGGGTGTTTGGCAGGGGGAGCGCTCATGTCCTACCCTTCATAGTCAGTTACAGACCCAACAGGAAGAGAGACTTGACCTTATAGTCCATCTTCTAAGTGGGTACCACTGTCTTCTAGCTAGAGGAAGAGACACTACCTCATCTCCGGCAAAAGCTCAGCCAATGAAAAGCCACCACACTTGAAACTTCCAGTTTATTCCAGTGAAGCTTTCCCAACTTACCCTTTCTCCTTAAAAAAGTATGTCTCTCCTTTTTCTCTGGACTTGCCTATGGTTTTGCCTGGGTTTGTTTGTCCCAGACTGCGATGCTCTTTTATTTCCAAATAAACCCATCTTTTGCTGGTAAAATAACTGGTTTTTATTTTTTAAGGTTGACAGGACCCAGATTCAGGCTTAAACCATTAGCTGCCAGATTTTCGGGCCTTTGGACTCCTGCTGAATCACACCACCATATTTCTGGGTCTTCAACTGGTAGAACATCAGCAGATCACGGGATTTCTTGGTCTCTGTAACAACATGAATCAATGCCTACAATCAATGCCTACAATCAATGCCTACAATCCTCTTATTTGTATGCATTATATATAATATATGCATACATACATATGTATATATTAATAATAGATCTATAGATATATAAAAGGAAACTAGTCTCGTTTTTCATCATACAAAAAATATAGTGAATTAATATTCTGAATATCACAAAACTTCTACAGATCAATTAAAAAAAAGTCAACCTCCCAAAAGTAGGCAAAGCCTAAGCTGGAGGGAGGGGAGTGGTGGTTTGCTTCTCTGACATGTTTCCTTCTCTAGCCAAGCCATCATTTTCAATTTCCAAGATTTATTCGGAGTTTTCTGCTTCTGCACGTTTTCAACATGGACATCGAAATGACCACATCTCACTGGTATTACTGAGACCTTCTACCTAGGTCTCCTGCCCCCGGAATTGTCACAGAAAAACTAAGCTGACTGTTAAGTATATAAGTCACAACATGTCAAGGGCTGTTTCAAACTTCCACTGCCTTCCCATTTCAAGTTGGGGAAAAACTCAAATACTTGACATGAGCCACGAGGGCCAGCATACGGTGCCCTGACTCTCTCCTTCTTCCTCTCTATGCCCAGACGCAAAGAGCTTTCTTTCTCTTCCTGAGAAAACATACGTTCCATGTTAGATCAATTATACTGATAGTTTCCTCTAAGTGGAAGTCAGCTGTGGACCTATCTTAGTTGGGCCTTGGAAAAGGTCTACTGCTTAATCCAACTTCCCCAGACTACTGGAACCCAGGCAGGCCCTACCCATTCTGCTCTATATCCCCTCCCCTTCAGGTTCTTCCCAGCACAGAGTACCAGATGAAATTTATCTTGTTGATTCATTTGTGCACATGTTTACTGCAGGAATCAGTGATTGCACTATGCGAAATATACATACAACATGGAAAAGGCCGTGCAGACTCAGGGGAAGATACTCAGATGACCGCACATTAGTCCTCTGCTCACCTCCCAGCAACTCGGGTACTCCTGCCTGGCAAAGGACCAGGTGATTTCTGTCCTTCGCCCTTAAGGTAGGGCTGCAAACCCAATCCCCTCACCTACCCAGTTAGTAGTACCCAAGAACCACCCTCCAAACTCCTTCCTCAACACCACACAAGGCAGCCAGCCCGTAAAAATCAGTCTTGCTTGAAATGTTTTGATATAATTATCAAGAGAAGTACAGGAAAGAAAAACTTCCACCCCTCAATCAGCTGAATGGACAATATTTATTAGAAACAAAGTCAGATCTGAACAGTTTGGTTTTATATGTAGTATGTTTGTGAACAAATACTGGCGATAACATATTTTGAATACATCGAAGCCTCAGAAAGATGATACATTATTTTCTGAGCTTCTCCTGACCCATTGGTGGAAAGGGCCTAGTTTTTCAAGAAAAGGGGGAAAGGAGGTGGAGAGGAAAGGGAAGGAGATTGAGGAGAACCAAAACCCAGCAGCATTCATAGTTGGCCCAGAGGATAGGAGTCTGGGGGAGATGAGGCTCTGGCCACCTCCACAGGACCCAGCTCGCAGACACACAAGAATGCCTAGTGGATGAAAGCTCAGCTGGCGAAACGGGCATCAGCAGTGTCCAAAGACATTCCAGGGTGTGGCAGAAAGAACAAATTATGGCGAACTTGGTAAAGAACATGGACTCAACGCATCAGTGGCAACATCACAGGACTCTCAAGCAAGACCAGTGTCCTGCAAGTTCGCCCAAAGCTCTGACATAAATATGGCCAGTCTCAAGAAGACTGTGGCCACACTCAAGAGCAGTGGGTTACAAAAGTGTCCCCTGGGCTTAGGGGACGGGGGCACAGCCAGACACGGAAGCCTCAGCAGCTTGCCTGAGCCCAGGGCTCAGTGGTGCCGCCTTGTCCACCCAGCCTCTATCCAGAGGAAGGGGCTGAGCCTCAGAGTGCGGAGCTGTGTGCCCCGCTCCCCCCAAGACGCGCCTCTTGGCCCGGGCTTGGAGGCTAGGCCCCTGAGCCCCCTGTTCCCGAGGACGACGACCAGGACCACACCTGCCAGGGGAGAGCCGGGGACCTGGGGCACAGGGAGTGGGGGGCTGTGGCCCGGTGGGGCCGGGCTCCCCGGAGGGGCGGGCGGGGACAGCCTCGCACTGGGCAGCAGAGGAAGAACTCTGGGCGGATAAGGGGCGCGGGGAGGCCTGGCGCAGAGCCGGGCGGCGGCGGCGGCGGGGGCTCCAGCCAGCAGCCCCGGGTCGCGGGGCCCGTGGGGCCCGGCGCGGTGGCAGGTGCCGCAGGCTCCACGCGCCTCTCCCGGGGCCGCGCACCTTGCGCCAGGCGCTCAGCTCCGGACCGCCGGGCGCCACGGGCTCCGTGTGGTCCACGGCAGCCCGGTCCTGCCCGCGCTTCCACAGCTCATAGCGCTCGGGCTGCAGGATGCGCACGAAGGCGTCCATGGAAAAGGTGACCCTGGCCTCCCCGCAGCTGCACTGGGAGGCCACCTTGCCGTAATCGATCCAGCGCGGGGTGGCGAAGTTGATGGCTTCGGCGCAGTTGAAGCCGTGGTTGAAGCCAGAGTGGTAGCCATAGGGAAAGGTCACCATGAACTCGCCCGCCTCCTGCGTGATCCGACTGAACGGGATCCCATTGTCCTTGAGCACCGTGGGCGAGATGAGAGCCACCTTGTGCCGCAGGAAGGCCTCGCAGGCGCGGGCGCTGCCCGGGAAGAGCTCCGTGGCCAGGCGTTCCAGGCGCTGGCCATGCTCCGGGGGCACCGCGTACCAAGTCTTGGGCTCCCCGAAGTGCAGGTAGTTGATGCTGTACAGGTCCATGTCCTCCGTGTGCCAGGCGAACGTGGTCTTCCACATGCCGAAGTACAGGTAGGGGGTGTTCACGCCCTCGATCACCACGCCGCACTCCTGCTCCAGCAGGTCCTGGATGGTTCCCAGGTGTCCCAGGTTCCACTCTTTGGTGTTTTCGTCGAACAAGGAGCCGCTGATGTCAGCGCCATAGATGGGAGAATCGTAGAGACGCGTCTTCCAGTATTTTCGCTCCAAATCCTCAAACCCCGAGTGTGGTGGAGTCTGATACTTCCCGCTGTTTGCCAAACGGCGGTACTCGCCCACTGTCGTGGCTTTCTTCTTTTTATGGTATTGAGTAAACACACCTGCCTGCCCGGAGACCACCTGCTGGAGAGGAGTTGCAATTAGGATGTCACTGATGTCGTCATAGGTCGGCCTGGCCCTCCATTCCTTGGGTGGAATCACCTTGGCCAGGCCTGCTCGGTGTGCACCCTGGGATTCCATGTAAGCAATGTATTTATCAAAATCATTAAACTCTTCTTTGGTTGGATGAAATATCATTATGGTACAGCTTGGGTTCTGAGCACAGCTGGCCTTAGACTTCATAGCTTCCATTAATAAGCCCCAAGCTTCACAAAGTTTTTCAGTATGTTCTAGATAGTTGAGGATACTGGAAAATGCTATATTTTAAAAAATGGGTCTGAGAGCCTGAGTCACTAGGAACCACCAGTGGACCTTTATGAAAATGAAATGATGATAATGTTTCTTAGGCTTGCTGATTCACCAACGAATGACGCTCTGGGTAGAAGAGTTGCCTAGAACTAGCACAGGTTAAGCCTGTGCTGCTCTTCAGTCGGTACCCAGCTCTGTTCCCTGGAGGTCTATTGAATCACTCAGTCTTGGGCGGGTATACAGGTTATTTCTTCAGGGCAGTGTTTAAACAAAGCCTAAAAGGAAGAATACAAAAGTGTTGAAAATTAATGTTGCAAAACTTATTAGAGAGTTACAAATAAAATACCACTATGGAATATTATTGCGCACTCAAAGAAAGGCTAGAAGTTTATAAGATTAACAAAACAAGAGGTGGTGTAGATGTGGAACAATGGGAGGGGTTTTATTCTAATAAAGAGAATGGAAATCATTACATTCACCTTGGAGAACTATTTGGACAGTATATACCAAAATTGAGCATCTGCTTGTGTAAAATTGAACACATGCCTTTGCTATGATTGAACGGTTCCCACTGTCAGTGCATGGCTCTGCACTGACAGTCACCTCCAAGAATGTCTATAACATTATTTATAGTGGCCAAATACTGGAAACAACCTAAATGCCCATCAGCAGTAGAATGGATAAATACGTGATGGTATATCCATATAATGGAATACAATACAGCAACGAGGACAAAAAATTACAAAGAAATATAAGAATAACTTTATAATCATTATACTAAGCAAAATCATACAGTCACAAAAGAATACCTACTCCATGATTCCATTTTTATAAAGATAAAAATGAGGCAAAGTAATCTATATTAGAAGTCAGAGTAGTGATTACCTTTGGAAAAGAGAGAGATTGTGCGTGGGGACATAAGGGTGCCTCTGGAGCATGTTAATATTCTTGTTTTGAACCTAGGTGCTGGTTACACGGCCATCAGAAGAGCTAGGTGTGATAATTCATTAAGCTATGATGATTGTCACAAACTTCCATATGTTTATCTAAAACTAGAGCTTAGGTGCAGCTCAACAACAGTAGTAGGGTACATAGAGCCCACATAGTAGACACCTCTGAAGTGCCTGGTTCTAGTGAATAGGGGGAATTGTGCTGTAGGGCACCACAGGACCTCTTTTTTATAGGGCCACCGCTTTCCAAGATCAGTACATAGCTGACTTTCCTATTGGGAAACAGACACAGAGCGTTTAACAAAACGAGGAGACAGAGGAATATGTCCCAAATGAAAGAAGAGGACAAAACCACAGAAAAAGAGCTAAATGAAATGTAGACAAGCAATATGACTGATAAAGAATTAAATGTAGTGATCATAAAGATACTCAGGGACTTGAGGAGAGAGGGGAGGATCTCAGTGAGACCTTCAACAAAGAGATAGAAAATATAAAAAGAACCAGGGGCGCCTGGGTGGCTCAGTGGGTTAAGCCTCTGCTAACAGCTCAGGTCATGATCTCAGGGTCCTGAGATCGAGTCCCGCATCGGGCTCTCTGCTCCGCAGGGAGCCTGCTTCCTCCTCTCTCTCGCTCTCTGCCTGCCTCTCTGCCTACTTGTGATCTCTCTCTGTCAAATAAATAAATAAAATCTTTAAAAAATAAAAATAAAAATAAAATAAAATAAAAAGAACCAATCAGAGATAAAGAACTCAGTAACTGAAATTGGAAAAAAAAATACACTGAAGGGAATCAATAGCAGATGAGAGGAGGCAGAAGAGCAGATCAGCAACTTGGAATACAGGGCAATGGAAAGCAACAAAGCTGAAAAGCAGAAAGAAAAAAAGAGTAGTAAAAAATGAATATAGGTTAAGGGAACTCCATGACATCATCCAGGGAAATATCATTTGAATTATAGGGACCTCAGAATATGAGAGAGAATGGGGCAGAAAAATTATTTGAAGAAATAACTAAAAACTTTCCTAATATGGGGGAAGGAAACAAGACATTTAGATCCAAGAAGCACAGAGAGACCCCAACAAAATTAACCCAAAGAGGTCCACACCAAGACATGTAATAATTAAAATGGCAAAGGTAGTGGAGGAGAATCTTAAAAGCAGAAAGAGAAAAGAAAACAGTTACATATGAAAAAAAAAAAACAAACCCATAAGGCTATCAACTAACTTTTTAGTAGAAACTTTGTAGGCCAGGAGAAAATGGCATGATATATTCAAAGTACTGAAAGAAACAGACTTGCAACCAAGAATACTCTTACCTAGCACCAGTATCATTTGGAATAAAAGGAAAGACAAAGAGTTTCCCAAGACAATTTCAGTAATTAAATGTAAATGGGATAAATGCTCTAATAAAAAAACAGAGTGACAAAGGAGTATACTACATAATGATAAAGGGAACAATCCAACAAGAGGATATAACAACTGTAAATATGCACCCAATATGGGAGCAGCTAGATACATAAAGAAACTATTGATTGACATAAAGGAAGAAATTGACAATAATTCAATAATAGTAGGGGGCTTTAACCCCCACTATATCAATGGATAGATGATGCAGACAGAAAATCACAAGGAAACAGTGGCTTTGAAATGACCCAATGGACCAGATAGACCTAACAGATAAACTCAGAACATTCCAAACCCGAACAGTGGAATGCACATTCTTTTCAAGTGCACATGGAATAGTCTCCAGAAGAGATCACATTAGACCACAAAACAAGTCTCAGTAAATTCAAAAATACTGAAATCATATCATGTGTCCTTTCTGACTAGAACACTATGAAACCAGAAATCAAGAAAAAATCTGGAAAGAACTAAAATACACGGATGCTAAATACTATTAAACAATAAATGATTCAACCAAGAAATCAAAGAGGAAATAAAAAAATACATGGGAAACAAACAAAAAAAAAATGAAAAAACAACAGTCCAAAATCTTGGGATGCAAAAAAAGCTGTCCTAAAAGGGAAGTTTATAGCAGTAGAGGTCTACCTCAAGAAACAAGAACAGTCTCAAATAAATAACCCAAACTCATACCTAAAAGAGCTAGAAAAAGAAGAACAAAGCTCAAAGCCAGTAGAAAGAAGGAAATAAAAAGGATTAGAGCAGAAATAAATGAAATAGAGACTTAAAAAAATCTAATAAAACAGCTAAATGAAACCAGGATAAGATAAGTTTGATAAACCTTTAGCCAGACTTATCAAGAAAAAAGAGAGAGGACTCCCAATAAATAAAATCAGAAACAAAGGAGAAGAAATAACTGACACCCCAGAAATAAAGAAGATTTTTTAAAGTTTTTTTTTAATTTTTTTAAAAGATTTTATTTATTTATTTGACAGAGATCACAAGTAGGCAGAGACAGGCTCAGCAGCCTTCCTGCTGAGCAGAGAGTCCGATGCGGGACTGGATCCCAGGACCTTGGGATCATGACCTGAGCCGAAGGCAGAGACCTTAAGCCACTGAGCCACCCAGGTGCCCAATAAAGAAGACTTTTAATCCCAATATACTTAACATACAGTGTTGTATTAGTTTCAGGTGTACAATATAGTGATTCAACAATTCTACACATTATCATGTTGAGCATTGGGTAATATATAGAATTGTTGAATCATTACATTGTATACCTGAATCTAATATAACATTGCCTGTTAATTATATCACAATAAAAAAGAAAAATAATAAAAATAAAATAAAGATAGAGTTTAGGTATTAAGCTAGCACTAAAGAAGATGAAGATACATATTTCATTGTACTAAAAGGAATAGTGAATAAAAATAAGTAATAAACACTGAATTGAAGGAGCTCGAAATTAGATAGGAGAAGAGGAAACAAATGACAAGGAATAAAGATGAAATTAATGAAAGATAATACATGAAAAACAAGGATGAAGACCAAAACTATTCTTTGAAGAGACTAATAAAAACACACCATGAATATAACTGATCATAAGAGAGAAGATAATAAGCAAGACTAGAAATTAAGTAGTGCACAAATCTAGTAATACAGTAGAAAAAAAATTAATCTCCAAAGAGAATCTTCTTGGCATCCTGACATCAAAATTTTCAAAAAAGAATAGTTTTCTACAGAGGAAACATATCCAAAATGGATCCAAGAAAAACTAGAAAGCATAAACACAAAAATATAAGAATCCAATTCAAAGTATGACCCCTAAAAGCCCAATAGATAGATTATATTGTAGGCGATTCTAGCAAACTTTCAAGAAACAGTTAACTCTTACTAATGCAAATTCTTTCAGAGTATAGAAAAGTTAGAAAGCTACTCAAATGAGGCCATTATCTCTGGCAATAAAATCAGAAAAGGACAAAAAAAAATTTAAGCTAGAGGCCATCTTTAGTTATAAACATAGATGAAAGCTACACGGGATATTATCCAACCAAATAAAGCAACATATTAAAAGAATAATACCTCGTGACCAAATGGAATGTATCCCAGGAATGAAAGAATGACTCAACATCTGAAAATCTAATGGTATAATTCAGAATATTAACAAAGAAAATGAGAAATATCATCATCTTATAGGTACCAAAAAACGGTTTGATGAAATATGACACTCATTCATGATTTTAAAATTCTTTACTTGTAAACCACTAAGAAATAGTTCTATAGTAAGATAAAGGATTTCAATGTAAAAAATATATAGCAAGCATCGTTCTTAACAGTGAAACAAAAGAAACATTCTTAACCAAAAAAAAAAAAAAGCAGCATGAATATGCTCTCTCTCAGAATCTTAAAAAAAAAAAAAGATGCAACAGCTAAATACTTCATTAACACAATCTCAAGAGGTCCCTTAATACTGTTTGCTAATTCTTTTAAATTCCTAATTTCTTAGTTTTTCTGCTCTCCAAACATTGTTTTATCTTTCCCATCTTCAAGTTTGAGCATGCCTACTCCATCCCACTTAGAATCCTTCGTATGTCCTAAAATTCCCTCCCTACCTGATCTGGCCCAAAATTACCTCTTTTTTTTTTTTCTTTTTTAAGATTTATTTTTTTTAAAAGATTTTATTTATTTATTTGAGAGAGAAAAAGAGAGAGAGAGAGAGCGAGCATGAGTTTGGGTGGGGGCAGGTTGGGGGCAGAGGGAGAAGCAGATTCCCCAGTGAGATAGGAGCCTGGCCCAGAACTCAATCCCAGGACTCTGGGATCATGACTTGAGAGGAAGGCAACTGCTTAACCAACTGAACCACCCAGGAGCCCCCCCCCCCCCCATTACCTATTAACGCTCAACACCACCGCTTTCTACTTACCCCTT